AAAAAAAAACCGTCAGGAGCTCCTAGTCGCCGATTATGGACCCAATTTCCACCTCATTCCAACTACCAAAACCCCCAGTTATCACTACCAACTTAATCTCCTCAACATCCTCTACAATTTCCACCCAAGAACTCCCAATTTCATCCACTTATACGCCCGAAATCATGCATCAAAATTAGCAAATCGAAATTCTGCAACCTGCCGAAAATCTCTCATACGGCCACTGTCATGGAAGCGGGCCACCACGAAGTGTCTGCCTAGGTCCAGACGACACAGAATATGGCCCCAATTCACTCCAAACAACACACAATCAAACTGAATTAATTCATGAAACATTGTTGATTAATTCTTTTATCAAGATTTCAAAATGAGTTCACGGAGATCCTCAAAACCCACAAAATCCCCTAACCAAGCAACCTCTTCAAGATCATCTTCTGCTTCATCTTCATCTTCTTTATCATCCCATTTAGCCATGGTTGAATTGAAGCAGAAAATCATCAACCCTCTATCTAAACTTTCAGACCGCGACACCCACCAATTAGCTGTAGAGGACCTTGAAAAAATTATAAACTCACTATCAAATGACGGTGTTTCGATGCTCCTCAACTGCCTCTATGACGATGGGAATGATTCGAAACTCGCAGTGAAGAAGGAGAGCCTCTGTCTCCTTGCCATTCTCTGCGCTACGCACTCGGATCCCTACGCGACCCACTTGACAAAAATAATTGCCCACAATGTGAAGAAGCTCATGGACTCAAATTCATCTTTGCCTGCGTTTCAAAAGTTCTGCCCGAGGGTGTGCAAATACATGAATAGCCCCAAGAATGATGTGAAGTGAATGGACTTTTTTTGACTGATTTGCATTTTTAAAAAAGCTTAAGAACATATTACAATTTATTCTTCATTTTTCTTTTCTTTTCTTTTCTTTTTTGTTTTATTTAAATTGGAGGGTAAAATGGTCAAAAATTGGGGGGAAAAGACGTTCTACGCCAAAAATGTGAAAGGTATGGACATTTTGCACGAAACCCGTCAAAGGTAGGGACGTTTTGCGTCAATTACCCTTTGAATTTCTATTTCTTGTGTGGGGTTCAATAACGGCTATATTTTTCATTCTCATTTTACAATAATGAGAATCAAACGGGCCTTAAATTATTTTAAAGTTGCTATCCCATGTTTGGACAATAACAAAATGAGTTCTGCTACAACCACGACCCGGTTTACAGTATGGGTCACATTTAGGGGCGGCCCCCACCGTTTTGTGAGGAGGCTGTGACCCGAGCAGTGAAGCTCGGGCGGTACAAATAGCCATTTCCTAACAAAATTATCAATCATGCTACACTTGCATTTTTGTTGACATCATTTCCACTATATGGTGTTATAAACGTTGGACAGATTTTTTAATAATCAAACGAAGTGTACATTTCCTAAATTTAATTAGCTGTACTCTATCAAACCTCATTGGATGGATTTTCTGGGGTGAGCCGCCTGATACCCAATAAAAACTCTTCTGTCTTCGTTAAAACTTCGCCCACCCCACCCCACCCCTCTCGGGGAAGAAGATCCAGTTATCAATAATAATAAAACATAAACTAATCGAATGTATAATTTGTAATTTATGCAACCTCAGTTTTCATTGTAACTATACATATTCAATATTTTGATGGCGATACTCTATGGGGTGGTGGCGCGAGGGACGACGGTGCTGGCGGAGTTCAGCGCCGTGACGGGGAATGCCCCGGCTGTGTCTCGGAGGATACTGGAGAAGCTGTCTGAGACAGAGCAGGCGGAGTCGAGGCTTTGTTTCTCCCAGGATCGGTACATATTCCACATCCTTAGATCGGATGGACTCACTTTCCTCTGTATGGCAAATGATACCTTCGGAAGTAAGCACAAAAGAAGAAAAAGATAGAAATTATAATCACCTTTTTTGCTAACGAAATTTACTATGTTTCTCCGAGTTTTTGTTGGATGAGGTTTATGGTTTATTGAATTAAGGTTTGTTCTTGTTGTTGTTGGTCATTTTAGGTTTTCTTGTGGCTGCAAATAACTTGCTGCTAATAGTTTAGCTTTTCACGATTGATCATGTTTCAAATTTTAAGGTAGAAAACAGGATAGCAATGGTGGAACTCTATTTTCTTGAGGGTTTATTTATATGTCAATTTTTTGAACTCGTATTAGCTTTGCGTCCGTAACTTATAAACGGAAAGATCCAACCACACAACTGTTGACTTCAATACAGACAAAGCAGAAGGCATCATTGTGAGAATGTTTTCAGAAACTAGTGTTCTATGAAATGGAATAGCGTTTAGGAAACCAAGAGTCGTGGATTAGTTCACTTGAAACCCAGACTGGTTTTTAGTCCGATTTGACAGTACACACATCTCTAGTAGCAGATGTTCATAGTCTAATCTTTTTTTCTTATTTTTCCTTTCCTACCATTTTGGCCATAATAATTCTCTTGCTACTTTTCCTTTGTTTTTCTTATAAAGAACGTGGCCTTTAACACAACTTTATAGTGAACTGCTCTCGGATTAATTGATAGCAAAATTTATTTAGCATAAATTGGTTTATAGAAGATTTTCATAAACTCAATGAGCCCAGTTTTTGTAATCTTTTAATGAGGCATAATTTTTGGACTTTGCCATGATTTTCTGATCAATTGTTCAAGAGAGAGAAAAATGGAAGCCAACATTTTGGGCTTTCAGACAAGAGAATGGGGCCAAGGTCTCTAGGGAATTTATTTTACTTTCGATAGTCTATGCTCATTCTGTTATTAACTTCTTTTCCAGAATCATAGGTGAAAGTTATGACTACATTACTTACCATTGGTAAACCATACTTCTCTTCTTGCAATGGCATCATTTAGACAAGGAACTGCTCAATCTTTTTATTGTTTTGTGGCTTCTAGGATCTTATCACATTCTCCAATCTTTTTATCCTGAGAACTATTCATTTCTGTTCACCATATGAAGGCTTTGAGATGTTTAGCCTCTACTATAAATATGCTTTTAGCATTGCCTTGTGTGGGGATTTACATCTTACTGGATTTTTTCTTTCAACTTAGAAGTAAAATTTTTATTTTATTCATATTATCTTTCTTCTTTTCTCTTCTATATATTACAACTAGTATTTTCACACTTTTCTCCAGGGAGAATCCCGTTCTCATATTTGGAAGATATTCAGATGCGATTCATGAAAAACTATGGAAGAGTGGCTCCTTTTGCTCCTGCCTACGCTATGAATGATGAATTCTCAAGGGTCTTGCATCAGCAAATGGAGTTTTTCTCTAGTAATCCTAGTGCAGACACACTCAACCGTGTCCGAGGAGAAGTTAGCGAGGTAAGATTACTTGGTCACCTTTACCCAACTCCCAAAAGAAAGAACATTAACAGGAGCAAAAAAAGAGAATTCACTTTATTAGGGATTCAAATGTTGTTTTTACTTTAGTCGTTTATATTCCATGTGCCATGTGTCTGAAGCTGGTTATGTCATCAAAACTTTTGTAAATCTTAATTATATGATTCATTGGGAAGATCAAATGTATATTGTATTTAGTGATAAATAATACTGTATATATATTGGTTTTTGCTGCATTTGTGTGGGCTTTTTAGTTCTTGCAGTTTGCTTTTAGTTTTGTGTGGCCATCTTTGATTATCGAGCGTCTGTAGCTGAAGTATTTTCTCAAAGGTTTTGCCATGTGTTAGATGTTGACCCTTTTTATTTCTCTGATATTAACTTTGTCCTCAATTTAATATACCGAATAATCACTTTGTCCTTGTTTTAATACGCCCTTCTTCTTTTGTACTGTTAAAGCACACATTTACTTAGAGCGCGTTTGATTGCAAGTGTGAAATTTGCATGGAAAGAAAATAAATTTTAGGCAATTCAATTGCTTAGAAATTATTTGTATGGAAATTATTAATTAAATGTGTTTGATTACTTTAGTTTTCAACGAAGAAATTATTATACTTATCCAATTTTTATTGGTGGGTAGATGAGAGATAGAGAGAGAATTACTTGGAAAATAAAAACCACATCTCCCTAAAGAAAATATTTTTCTTGATTTCAAGGAAAATATGGTCATGTGACCAAAAGTAGGAAAATATTTTTCGTGGAAAAAGTTGTCAATCAAACAGTACAAAAGTAAGAAATTAGGTGAAAAAACCACATTTTTCATGGAAAATATTGGCAATCAAACGCGCCCTTAGTGAAATATGTAGCTGCTTATTTAAGAAATTCTTGACAATAAAGTATAAGCCAGAGACCCCCACTTTTTTCGCTGAACCAGTGCCAGTGGCAGCAATTGTCTCAGGTTATCAAATGGTAGAGCAGTATAAGCCAGAGGTATGAACATCAAGATTAAAATCGAGATGAAATAAAAAAGTCTTTTACATTATGTAGGTGAAGCAAATCGAGATGCCTCTGTTTTCCTTTCTCTTTTGTTTTTGGCTCAACAAGAATCCTCAGCTCCTTTGCTACAAATGATATGCATATTATATGTTGTAAGCAGGAATCGTGTTCCAGCGTAGTAGTTTCTAATATGTGTTGTTTCTATTATTTTTGTATTACGTTTTGTGCAAACTTTTATAAAAAAAGTCATATTTACAAAATTATTATAATATGTTAGAATATAGTTGTTAATTAGCTCCTGTCTTTGGTGTAATGTTAGAATTCAGGGAGCCTTAGCTGCTCTACACTTGCGTGATATTGTTGATTTTATGATGAGCTTGCTTGCTTGTTCTTATCCTAGTACTATGAACCTAACACCTGGAACATGGTCTTAAGGTACGCACAATAATGGTGGATAACATTGACAAGATACTGGAAAGAGGTGACCGGATTGAGCTTCTTGTTGACAAAACAGCAACCATGCAAGATAGTGCATTTCACTTCAAGAAACAGTCAAAGCGTCTTCATCGAGCTCTGTGGATGAAAAATGCCAAACTCTTGTAAGTATTTTAATAACCATCTATTTGGGTTGAACTTTATATGAGAGCTCAATAATGGTCTATAAAGACTATAAAGTTTGTGAAAGCAAAAAGGCAAATGGCAGAGCTATATAGCACTATCTATGCAATATGATTTATGAAGGTGTGTGTAGCTTCAAACACGTCTCTGTAATCTTGTGCGTTGGAGAATTTACTTTTGCGAACTTTATTGCCCAAGCTGTAAGTTTACATTTCATATTCTATTTTGTTCCATTGAACTAATTTCTTGCACATTTCAGATTACCTAATCGAACATTGAATAATGAATAGATAGTTTGAGACAATATGTATGATTGAGATGAGAATATTTAATTGTTTTTTGCGAAAGCTGGATATGTAAACTTTAGAGCATTCAGTAAATAGTTAGCTGGGAAAAAGTAGTAGAATCGTCTACTTGTTTGGCATCAGCCACCCATCAAGATTTACTATGACTTGATTGCATAAACAACTGAGATTTGGGTTGATGTTGAAAAGGATAGCGATAGAGGAAAATTATCAGATATTCCTGGATGGGATTGTTGAATGTAGTAACTCACATATCCCTGCTTTCAATATATAATATATGCACAATGTCATAGCACTTGACTTTTTTTATTGCATCTGTCCTTCTGCACTTTGAGAAGTAATTGTGTACACGAACATTGGACTTATTAGCATTTAAATCTGAAATATTATATTCACGTGAATTTACACGTGAAATTATTAAAAAAAAAAAAATCCTTATATATACGTGTTCCATTTAAATCTGAAATATTTTCTCTTTACGTATGCAGTTTCGAAAGTTCTCTCTGTAGTTTTCGCATATCATTCTAATGCATTAACTGCAATAATATGTTAGCACAAAATTTAA